AAAAAAAAAAAAAAAAAAAAAAATAATTTTTTAGGTTTTATTAATAATAAAAATAAGTGGAACAATTCAGAGACCTCCACTTTAATTAGTATTAGTACAATGGTATGATTTTAAATCAAAAAAATCATCATATACTGTATGTATGATTGCGCATATCTTAAATTAATGGATATATATAATCTAGTAGATATAAGAACAATAGATAATTTAGTTTATATAATTTCAAGATTTGATAAAAGTAATAAATATTTATTAAATAATTATTTATTTTGATATATAATCAAATAACATATCTTTTAAGTAATAAATTTTTCCAAATTACATCTAGAGACGTAGACCTAAGTATTAATATATAGAAAAATTTTGGTGATGTAATTTTACACACATTTGCATTTTCTAAGATTCCTTTTAAATTAAATAATATTTGTTTTATTTATAATTTAATCATTAAATAATTCTTTGAATTTAATTATTTCTAAGTTGTAAATAACAATTCTTATTATTTATTCTAAGCATGATTATGGTAATAATTGTTATACTCTTGCAAATAATCGAAGGCATTTAAAAAAGTTAAAACTTTGTATACATAATACGCGACAACAGTGTCCGGCCAAAATCACAAAAAAGGGATTATAGTTCCGGGTAAAACTCCGGGTTATTTTTCTGGGCTAATTCTGTATAAAACGGATAGGCATCTACCCTAAAATTTTAGGATAGTTTTTACTCCCTTTTAACACGAGAGGCGAAAGTTCTTTCGTTAAACGGCAAATTCTGCATTCTTCTTTGATTATTAGTGATTACTTTTTATTTTAGGTATACGAATTAATTTATTGTAGTCTCTATAGAAAGGTTGATTCTAAATTTTATATTTATCGAACTTTTTTTAGTATGGAGTCCAATCCAGCCCTGCCGCCTCCTAACGACCTGGCGGCCACTTGGGCCTTCCTAGAGAGCGGTATTAGTCAAATTATGAATAGATTGGAAGAGGGACTTAGCTACAAGAGATATATGGATCTTTATACGTATCCTCTTTTTTATGTTTAATTTTTTACAACCTTTGCGCAGCAAGAAAAGCGGAATAAATTCTACTGCGTTACAGTTTCCGTGCATTCCCTATTTATTACGTTTTGATCACTACTATTGATTGAAGAATACCTCATCAGAACTTATAGCGTGCATTATATTATCCCTAATTTATTGTTTACGAATGATTTAGTGGGATTTACAATTACTGCACGAGCAGTCGTATGAATCCTGGTTTTACATCAGAACCTCTCGCTGGTCCTGGTTCTAATTTAAACAACAATCGAGGTATCTTTTTAAAGGATTAAATCCTCCATTA